CTTGGTTTCCCCTTGGACTCGTCTGACTGGCTCTTTTACCACCCGCAGTCTCACCGCTTCTTCCACTCTCGTGACGTCACCTTTGACGAGTCCATCTCCTTCTACCGTCGCTTCCCTCACCGAGGTCTCCCGGTTTCCCCCCCCCTATTCCTTGCCCCCTCTCCCCCGGTAGCCCCTCCCCCCCTCTTGCCTCGTCCTGCCCCGTCTTGTGTCTCCCATGTTACTCCCCTCCCGTCAGTTGTTCCTGTTGAGGAGTCTGCAGACTCTGGTGGTTCCCCCGCCCCACCTTTGCCGCGTCCCCCTTCCTTGGTATCTCCACCCCCGCTGTCGCAGTCGCCGCTTTCGCCGCCGCTGCCGCCGCCGTCGCAGCCGCCGTCGCAGCCGCCGCCGCAGCCGCCTCCGCCGCCGCCGCCGCCGCCGCCGTTGCCGCTCTTCGCCTCTGGGGGTGCTGGCGCTGAGGAGGGTGTTCGTCCTGCGGCTTGTGGCGTGGTGTGTCCTGGCGGGCCTGGCGGTGCCGCTGGGGCTGGAGAGTGTTCTTGCTCTGGGGGTGTTGGTTCTGGGGGTGCTGCTGTTGAGTGTTCTCATGGAGGTCGTCGTGCCCCTGCCGGTTCGAGGGTCAAGCACCAGCTGCCGCAGCAGCCGCCGCAGTCGTCGACGCCGGTCTCCGCTCTTCGCCTGCTCGGCCTGCCCTCTCCTGACCGCTCGCCGGTGTCTCCCTCAGCTCCTCCTCACCTTCCTGTCTACGGCCCTGTGTTCCCGCCCCCGGACTCTTCTCCGGCCCGTCTTCCTCCTCGTTCCCCCCTTGTGTCCCCTCCACTGTCTCCTGGCCCTACACCTCCGTCCCATGTTTGGTCTCGCCGTCCCTCCCGTGCTCATCCCGTCTCCCCTGTCCCGCGCTCCCATCTTATGTTACTCCGTTCTCACTCATCTCGTCCTCCCCTCCTCCCCTCACCTCCTCCCTTGTCACTTGTTGTTGCACCTCCCCTGCTGTCTGACTACCTCCGTGCCGCTCGTCCCCTTGTCCCTTGGGTCCTTGCCTCTCTTGTTACAGACCCGTCTGTTCCTGTCTCTCGCTTTAACGCGCTTGTCGCTGCTGTCGCTGACTTCGCCTCTACCCGCCGCCTTGACTACGCTACTGCTCTGGTCTCCGACCCTGCCCGTCCTGCGTCCGTTGGGGGTGCACCTGCCCTTGGCAGTGACGTACTAGAGGACAGGCATTACGAGCTTGCTTTCCTTTATGAGGCTGCTCCCCATCTCTGCTCCATGCTCCTAGTCCCAGAGGGTGACCCAGACGCCTTCGACATCCCGACCCCTCACACCTACGCTGAGTGCAAGAGCTGATAGGAAACGAGGGGGACAGCAGCAGTCGCAGCAATTCAAGCAACCCGTGAAGCAGAATCCCCCGACAACAACTCATGCCACATCAGGAAAACAGGTTTTTAGCTGCGTTACAATAGTCAATGCAACAGACTCAGATTTCGACGATGACGACGAAAATTCCATCGAGCAACCAGAAAACATGGTTTTACCTCAAGTTTATGCTAACCTTGCTCGGGTTATCGCAGGACCGAACACTTGGTATCTTGAAATTTGCTTTGGACAACACATGTGCTCTGCGGAGACGCTCTTCATTACTCATCAGCGACCGCTTCGTCGTCCAGTACCTGTCAAAGTCGCAAGTGGACAAACGATAATGGCAAATTCAATTGGGAGCGTCATGTTGGATTCAGTGGACACAGGATTTTCCTTACACGTTACGAATGTCCTGATCATCGAGGAACTTGGCTTTAATCTTCTTTCAACAGCTCAACTCCTGCGACATAAGATCCGGACAGAAGGAAACTGTGAGACAATGGACCAAGAACTTTATCATAATGATTCAAATACTTACATCGGGAGAGCCGCCACTCAGTTTGGTGTTTCCGTTCTTCAATTTGAGTCGCAAGGGACTACTGGATCTTCTGAGAGACTGTTATCTCTTGGACCTTGGCAACATTCCGAAGAAACTGACTTCCAAAACGTTGACATCGACTTCCGAGCAACTGCAGTTCCAACAGGTTCTCGTACAGCAGCAGCAGTTATTACAGCTCTTGATTCCTGGCCAACAAATACAGCAGAGGAACACACATCAGCATGGAGGAATTATTACGACACTTTACAACTTGAAAATAAACCTACAGCACTTTGGGGACCCAGCAGCAGCAGTGAAGCAGAGGAAGCAGAGCAGCAGAGTAGCGGTGAAGCAGAAACAGGGATTCTTGTCAGTCAACCTGCAGCAGATTCACAAGAAATAGAAATCGGGGAAGGGGAATTAGTTCTTGAACCGAAGAAGTACTCGAAGTGGAAATTACAACGACAAAGTTACCTCTTAATCGCTTCATTCCTGGCAAACTCGACGAATTACCAGCGATTTCTCCTTTCATCGTTTCTTCTTTTTATACTAACGCCGATTTTTATCTATGATCAACAACAGAAGATAAAAGCAACGGAAGATATTTGGCATCAAAGATTAGGACATCCTTCCCCGGGGATCCTTAATCATACAATCCGAGCTTCAGTTCTTGATAAAAATAGTGTACTCTTACTGGATGGAACGGAGATGAAGCCGTCTTCGCAACCAGCAGTCTGCTCCACGTGCACCACTGCAAATCTTCGGAACGGGCTAAGTAGGGAATACATCTTGGCATCGAGAAGCAGTTTTATGCGTGGAAAATCATGGATCTTCGCACGAGTCAAATCGTAGCAGCACGTGATTATCTTTTCTACGAACGCCTAACCTTACGAACTCACCTTTGCGCCAGTTGGCCGACACACTAGTGTTAGAATTCTTCTCTGCATCGCGGCCTACCAGAATTTCAGACTTCATCAAATCGACATCGCCAACGCTTTTCTATATGCGCCTGTCGACACACTAATTCTGGTCGAGTATCCACATTCCTCTGAGATTAATCCTTCCAGCGTGTGCCGTCTCAGATAATCGCTCTATGGTATCAAACAGGCACCACAACTCTAGCCGCAGTATCTACATCGTCAACTATTAACCGCCGGATTTCGTCAGCTTCCACACGACCAAGGAATGTACCTGCTTACCGACGATACCGACTATATTCTACTTGTCGCCTATATCGACGACTTGGTAGTGGCGCGAATTGAGGTTATGGTGCATGAGTTCTCGTGAAAATCCACGAGATTATCCACGAACTGGATAATCATTAAGGCTGGCCACACTTTGCTGGCCACACTTGGCTGGCCACACTTGCATGGCCACACTTGCCTGGCCACACTTGGCTGGCCATACTTTCCTGGTCACACTTGGCTGGCTACACTTGGCTGGCCACACTTGGCTTGGCTGGCCACACTTGGCTGGCCAAATTTGGCTGGCCATACTTGCCTGGCCACACTTGGCTGGCCACACTTGGCTTTGCTGGCCACACTTGGGTGGCCACACTTGGATGGCCAAATTTGGATGGCCATACTTGCCTGGCCACACTTGCCTGGCCACACTTGGCTGGCCACACTTGGCTTGGCTGGCCACACTTGGCTGGCCACACTTGGTTGGCCACACTTGGCTTGTCTGGCCACACTTGGCTGGTCACACTTGGTTGGCCACACTTGGCTGGCCACACATGGCTTGGCTGGCCACACTTGGCCAGCCGTATGTAGCTTTGACGCCGTGCCCGCCCTATCTTGTGATGGTGTTGGGCAGGGATAACAATACAACACCGGATCGGGACCAAGCAAGGGGACCAGTGTTGAGGGGTTGGCCAACAGCTCCATGTCTTCATGACATATGTCTTGGAACTTTGCAGGAGTAAGTCTAGGTCTCTTTTGGCTCTGTGGGTCATGCCCTTGTAGTCTTGAATTCTGAACAGCCAGCCGGGCACAAGCACCAGAGGACGCTGGTAAGCAAGGGCCCACGTCTCCGCATTTGCAATATCGATATGCGGCCACATTTGCGCTGTCCGGTCTAGGCCATCAGCACATGTGGGAAGTGCCACGGACACTAGGAGTGTCAGCCCCAAGCGAACGGACATACTACAGGCTGATGGGGGTTGAAAATGGGTTATGGAGCACCATAATCTCGCAATCACACAAGTCCATGGCTGTGGTCAGGGCTATGGTTAGCAAGCGTGGCAAACCTGTCGAGTTTGTGAGTGTGGATGGGCGATGGTCCCAGGCAAGGGAAGGAGAATGGTGTACTGTCACCTTTATTGACACTGAAACCCAGAAAGTGCTGTACAATGTGACAACAAGGAAGGGGCGTGACGGCAAATCATCACCCTAACTGAAAAGTTGAGCCTCGGAAGAGTTGAGAGCTCGCGGTTTTGAAGTGGGGGGCATCATATCTGATGAGGGGTCAACCTGCAAATCTGCAGTCAATGGAACGGGAATACGACATCGGCAGGATACGTGGCATAAGAGGCGCTCGATCGAGAAGAGGTTTGGCACAGATATGCAGGACAAACTAAAGGCAGAGATGTGCATGGAGGATGTGAACACAATAGCTGATCTATGGTGTGTGAGCAAGGAGCGTTTGCTCAAGTGGCTACGCGACGAAAAGGCACTAGCAAGTGGGATTAATGGGAAGTGTAGCAAAACCACGCTAGGTAGAGAGGCAGTGTGCGGCAAGATGGGGATGTTTGCATACGAGCTGGTGGCCGAGTCATTAGCCAAGTACAAGTACCCGGAACTATGCCAAGTTCTACAGGTACACGTCCATGATCTTCAACAAACACACAGATACCCCTGGCACAGAGGGCAGGGAGGAAGTGGTGGCAACCGATGACACAACGACTTGTGCAATCGCCGTACCAGTAACGTTTGCGGCGGGCCTTGAGGTTCACTCCGTGCATGGGGAGAAAGGTTTCATCGCCACAGCTGACGAGGGAGGTGGAGAGGCGGGCCTTGGACTCGCCGAGGGGGCCAAAGCAGTCCTGGTCTCATGGCATGAAGTGGATGTGCTATGGGCATATGATACTCATTGTACCCTCGGCGTGCGTCTGCAACGGGCAGCATGCTTGCAATCCAGGTGGTGTCGGAAGTGGGCGACCTTGCACAACTGGAGGCGCAATGGGCCAAGCAACAAAGTGCACAAGAGATTCCAGTGGTGCAAGGTATATGTGCCCTCTTTGCTGGTTAGACACACAGCCAGAGCCAGTTTGTTCCCTTTGATTAGTTTTCCATTTTGGTTAGTTTTTCATGCTGGTTGGCTGGTATGCTTGTTGCTGGGTCGTAGGTTTGATGATTCCGTTTTGGAAGTTTACTTGGTTGAGTGTTATATTGGTGTGCTTTTCTTTCATGCTGTGCATCGGTTGCTCAAGCAGGGGTGGTAGCGCCCAGTGGGCACACAGTTCCGATGCAGCAGAGGAGGTGCGTGGAAAGGGAGTGGCAAACACAAGCATCACAGACAAGCAATTCAGATGCTGGCGAGGGCAGCGTGAATCAGAAGCAAACCCAAGGGATGAGTGTTGCTCAAAGGCTCGGGGTGCACTTTTGGCATGTAATGATGAGGAACACGGTAAAGGCCAAAGACGGAAGCACCCGCACACCTGAGGAAGTGTTAGAGGAGGTTTGCTTGGCCGTGGACCATTGGGCTGGCGGCCATTCACGGTGCCAGAGAAACGGGGTGGTTCCAAAGTGCATAGCCAAGGCACGGGGCTCTGAAAGTGCACTTTACAAACGAGGATCTGCCACGCATATTGCAGTCCGGCTCTGGTTCAACAAAAATCTTGCGCCAGAGCCCATGGCACCCTTTGTGCTGGGAACGTGTGAACGAGTCACTGCACAGCCTAATCTGCAAATATGCGCCAAAGAGAATCCATTTCCAAGGCAGCTTCGAGGCCCGGATTGGGCTCACGGGTCTACATTGCAACCACTGTGTGGATCGGCTGTTGGCAGCTCACTCCCGTAGGTCATGGCCTCGTGTTGCCATGGGGAGAGCTGCTGGCAGCTCGCTCCCTCAGGTCAAGGCCTCGTGATGCAATGGGGAGAGCTGCTGGCAGCTCACTCCTGGTCATGGCCTCGTGATGCCATGGGGAGAGCTAAATGATTATCTTCAGCATGCAGAAATAGTCGCGATACACTACGAACAGGTACATGCTGAATAGGTACTTGTTAGAGTATAAACATGCCAGTATTACTAATTATTATTATCCTTGTCATTTCGGACATTTCCAATACAAGGTGTAAAGTCTTCCACTGACTTTCTACTCGTGGTTCCATGAACTCCAGATCTTGGCCACCCTAAGTACATGGTTCACTTCTAAATGGTATTCTGAGCTAGTTGAGTTACACGAACTGATACAAGCTGATTTTGATTACGCCGTTAAGCTTAAGTCATAGATATATTTTATGTCAGCCGCTAAGACAGGAAATTCAACTATGACTTCTCCTACTTCTGGTCTTTCTACTGACGATCTATTTGACTTCGCTTCCTTGATGGCTAATCAGTCTACTCAGCAACAACAACAAGCTCCAGCGCATCCTACAGCTTCTATGAGTCTTGATAACTCTAATTACGCAAGAGCTGTTGTTGCCACTGGGCCTTCAACCCCTGGAGATGCTGGGTCTTTTGCCTTCCATGGCCGACTTGTTCAACCACAGCAACAACAACAACAACAACAACAACAACAACAACAACAACAACAACAACAACAACAACAACAACAACAACAACAACAACAACAACAACAACAACAACAACAACAACAACAACAACAACAACAACAACAACAACAACAACAACAACAACAACAACAACAACAACAACAACAGCAGCAGCAACAACATCAAATGGCAGAAGAAAGACGATTCGTTGCAGAAGCTATTGTAAATCAAGCGGATTTCCTTACTATCTCCAAGCCGAAGACCTCAACTTACTTTGATGGCGCGAATTCTATACTTGGGGATTTGAATTCGAACTCCTCACGCAATCTTCTGGTATCTGGGAATATTTCGACGGTACAATCCGTTATCCATAAACACGAATGATCGAAGATCAAGCGCGTTATTACAAGTATTCGCTTATGGCCTATACACTACTGGTATGGAATCTCTCACCTGAAGAGTAGTTGGGAGTTCGATGCTTCAAACCTTCACTCGCCCCAACCATCTACGCGTGCGAGAGTTATATCAAGCACAAGATTCCGTCACACAGAGCAAGCTGTTAAGTCAATCTACAGCAATGCAAATGCTTCCGGGAGAAAAAGCTAGTAGCTACATCAATAGATGCATAATACTTCGGGATCACCTCAGCAAGTGCAGAAGAAACCTCAGCAACGAGCTCTTCGTCACTATCCTTCAGGCTGGACTTGGACCTGAATAGAGGCAGTGCAAGTCCCTTCTTCGTTCCCAAGGAAATATCTCAGAAACTTCTTTTGTGCTGCTCTGATGGCAGAGCAGCAGGACTTGGAGCTATACAATGCAAAAAGAGGCAAAGCCAAGAGTGGGTTAAGCTTCTTTACAGGTGGATCAAGTCAAGAGAAGCAGATAAGAGGTGCATCAAACCAATGGGAGCAGGCAAGAAAAGGAGGAAAGGGCTTGTGCAAGTTTTGCAAACGAGCAGGTCATATTATTGAAGCGTGAAGAACAGGAACTGAAGAACAGGAATCGGCAAAAGTCGAGTGAAGCCGCCTCTGTCAAGACTTTTTCGCGAGGCAATCATTAATTGAATGATTGGACCACACTGGTCTAGTGGTATACGCTACTGGACCAGCATCTGCTTCGTCAGCACCACTAACACGATGCTCACGGAGTTGTTCCTGGGCGAGAAGAAGGCAGACAAGAGTAATTTAGTCATCATTGCAGAAATTAAAGACGGCATTTCCGTTCTACGGTTTTCACTTGTCAAGGCATTTGGCGACAGTAGGAAGAACGTCTCACTGGCATCATCGCTGGGAAACAGATCTTCAACGCCAAGACCACCGTGGTCTCAATGTCTTCTGCATGATGTCTCAGCCTTCTCGCGCCGACTCCCTTGACGAACATGCAGCAGAGCCAATATAAGCAACATCAGCAGCAGCAGAAATAGTTCAAAGCACATGGGCATTTGGAGATGGAAATTGAGGTCAAGACAATCAAGAACCGACATCTACTACAGTCGAAGAACCTATGGAGGTTGAACGCACATGGGGCAAGAAAGAGTTAATCGTACCTGATTCTTGGGTGCGTCGCCGACATTTTGGCATACCTTGGGCTGAAACTGCAGAAGAAGCCGGGTTCATCCAGCCTTTTGGCACCGGCCGCTGCGTTAACCCTGAGCCAACAATTCATCTTTTGCTGGCATTCTTCCTTCACTCTGACTTGTACCTGCGTTCAAAGGGACACATGACTACAACCGAAATCTGGCACAAGTAGTTAGGTCATCCCTCCCAGGAAGCTCTCAACAACTCAATTAAAGCCTCGGTTTTTAAAACGCTCTCCTTTTAACCAACGGCCAAGAGCTTTGACCTACCAGTCGACAAGTATCTTGCACCATCTGCCCCGGAGCTCACCTAATTCACGCTCCGTTCCCGTCAAACTATCCGAGTGCTACAAAGTACTCACCTATGGATGTCGTTTTCAGCGACATACTCTTCATGCCGCATGAAGCAGAAGACATCAGCAGCAACGACTACCGCTATATCATTACCTTCATCGATGGTGCTACTCAATACGTCTAGCACAAGCATATCTCTCACATGTCTGAAGCTCTCGACGCCTTCAAGCTATGGCTGAAAATTGTGGAGCGGCAGAGCGGCATCAAGCTGAAAGAGATCCAGACAGACAACGCGGGCGAGTACACCAGCGAGCATTTTGATGAATTCCTAGCGCGGAAAGGGATACTTAGGCGCAAGACCGTGCCTTACGCCCATCAGCAGTATGGAGTAGCTGAGAGGACGAACAGAACGCTGCAAGAAAAGATGCGCGTGCTGCTGCAACAGTCCAGCTTGACAGCACATTTCTAGCCATTTGCGATGGCGCAAGCTGTCCGCCTACACAACTGCTTGTCTTCAATAGCTCTTTCTCAGTTTACCTCGCCATACATCATGTGGATAAAACACCCCGCTAACACTCGACTTTTACGAGTTTGGGGCTGCATGGTCCAATACAAACCTCCGAGCGCAACTGCAGGCAGATTTACTGAAGGGGCAGGATGGGGAATACACCTCGGTGTACTTAAAGATTCTCTTGGATAATTATGGATTACAAAACCCTGAAAGGTTTTGTATGCCCGAGATTGCACCTTCTACGAGAAACTTTTTCTCGATGACTTCGAACGTGACAAGGAACGCGAGCAGCGAGATCCTAATCGCTATAGTGTTGAACGGAGTTTCGCCACTCCTCAAGACGAAGCAGATGCAGCCAAAGAATATTATGCGCACGATAGCATAGCAGCACTGCCTTCTACAGTTCCGCAATAGTCTACGTCAGCAGATGAACAATTGTTCGACTCCTATATTCCTTCGACGCGTGCCAATGACACAGAAACCCCGCTCTTCATTCCCCTCTCGGACCCGTTACGTCCTACCTCGACACAGGTTGCTTATAATTATGAGGAGCACCTGTGCCAACAGAAAATTGACGCAGCATCACATGACGGTGCCCGCCATCTGCCATCCAAAATTGACGATGATGACGTCGTCGAAGTTTGCCAACATCATCCTCGTGGTGACCAATCGGCTCTTCAAATCCTCAAACATGCTGTCGCAATTCAGCAGCCAACGAACGTGATCGAGCCAAAAACAGTCAAGCAGGCCCTTTCCTGTTTTGATGCTGACAAGTGGCAAGCAGCTATGGATGCAGAGGTAGCAGCTCTTGAGAAACGGAAAACGTGGAAACTCGTTCCATGCGAAGCAAAACGCGGCAAGAAAATTCTTTCGGGCAAGTGGGTCTTTTGCATAAAGACAAATGCAGCAGGCGAACTAGACAGATTCAAGGGGAGATGGGTCGTTCGAGGTTTCGAACAAACCCAAGGCATCGATTACGTCCAAACTTTTGCTTTAGTCAGCCGTCATATCTCCGTTCGGATTCTTCTCGCCATTGCTGCCAGCCGCCACCTTCCACTTTGCCAATTGGACGTAAAAAACATGTTTTTATACGCAGACGTCGATGCAGGTATTTTCGTCAAACTCCCTCACACTTACGGCAACGGACGCTACATCTACAAATTACTGAAGTTACTCTACGGCATCAAACAGGCTCCTTGCCTATGGCAGCAGCATCTTCACAAAGTGCCGATTTCACTCAACTTCATGCAGCTGCCCCACGATCCTGGAATGTACAAACTCGAATGTCGGAGGAATTACATCCTCCTAGTCGCCTAAGTCGACGAGTTACTGTACACCAGCTCGTGCAACAGTCTTCGGGCGCGTATGGAGGAACGAATCCAAACGATTCTTGAAGTGACGATTTCCTTCATCGTCACCCGATTTCTTGGGTTAAACGTGGACTGCGGCCCCGATGCCATCTACCTTTCTGCAAGCAAGTACGCAGAAACACTTTCGAAAAAGTTCGCCATTGATCCTATCGGCCTCACCACTCCATTTCGTCATATTCCTACCGATCACACACCTGATACTACCCCACTTACCGCCTCCGAGCATCAGCTTTACCAGCAGAAGCTCGGGTCTCTTCTATTTGCAGCCATTACATGCCACCCAGATCTTGCCTACATCACGAGTCAGCTGGCACAGTACCTACGCTGACCTGAAGGGGAGAATATGGCCGATCTTCGTCGAGCCCTCCAATATTTCATTTCTTCTCCTACAGTCGGTTTCAGCTACACGACAAATACTACATTGATACGACTGACTGGATACGTTGATGCGGATCACGCTGCTGACCCCGACAACAGGCGTTCGCGTACAGGGTTTATCTTCAAACTTGAACCTGGTGGTGTCATTTCCTAGAACTCAACAAAATGCGAGGTCATCGCACTTTCGTCAGGCGAAGCAGAATTTGTCACAGCAAGCTCTGCAGATCGCGAAGGAACCTACCTTCAAGATTTACATCAAGAGGTGAAAATCGCAACGACCCATAACTTCAAGTTACTCTGTGACAACCAGTGCGCTATCAAAATTGCAAACAAGCCCGGTTTTTGTCAAAAGGACAAAACACATTGCCATACACTGAGGAATGAAGGGGAGTGTTGAAGTATACTCGACAGAGTTTACTTATGCATTCCTGATATAACATCTAGAATGTACTAGTAGCACGATACCTCATATGGAAGGACGCGTGTGATGACGTTAGTAGTAGCGAGTCAACGCTTGAACAGTAGGTTCGCGCGTATAGTTAACCGAAGGGTCACGCCACTCTCAGTCACATGAATAGTCACAAGTCATGTCACGCAAATATTTGCGATACACTACGAACAAGTACATTCCGAATAAGTACTTGTTAAAGTGTAAATATGCCCGTATTACTCATTATTATTATCCTTGTCATTTCGGACATTTCCAATATGAGGTGTTAAGTCTTCCTCTGACTTTCTACTCGTGGTTCCACCAACTCTAGATCCTGGCTACCCTGAACGCGTGGCTCAATTCTACACTAATTACCACCCCTTTTCCCACTTTCCCACCCCTATTTTTGTCGCTGATTTGTAAAGGTGGGAGACAATCCAGGTAGGCATCAATCCAGGCAGCTATTGAGGCCAAGGTTACAGGCTATTGCCCTTTCCATGCTTGCAAGCATCTTGGTAGTAATCGTACATGCTACTTGTATGCATCTTTATAGTGGATTTTGTGGGTGGATAAATGTGTCAACATATTTGTATATTATTTATATATAGTTGTGTAGGCTTGGTAGGTTAGGTGTGCTACAATACTGAATTCTACTGTAGAGGGCACAACATCCTTTTTGTACCCCTCTCTCTTT